TTCTGAGCGTGGAGTCACTTTAGGATGCAAACCTGTTCTCATTCCTGAGAGCAGTTTTAGTCATATCATACCCACAAACACACTTCCTATGGGAGGCAGGGGATAGGACTGGCAACCAATAGGTAGGACAGAGCAAAAAGATGGGAGGCAAGATCCTGGGCAGACCTCAGCAAACTCACAGTCCTAAGGGATTAGTTCCCTAAGAGTGAATGCTATGTGGAGAGACGCTAAGAGCATGTTGAAGGGCAAAGTTCAAACCTCCAAATCCTAGAATGAGCCTGGTGTCTAGTTCAGAGCCAATGTTCGGTGGGGGGGGGGGGGGGGCTTCAAAGGAGCAAAAAACCAAAGTAGTGGGGGAGAATAAAATCTGCCTGGGTAAGTGCAGATGTGAACGAGGCAGAGGTTCTCAAATGTGCCTAAGGGATTTAGGGCCTCAAGTCCCATTAAAGGTCAAGGACAGTCAATGGGGCTTGTGCTCCAACATCCATTTGGCACTTCTGAAAATCTTCCTGAGCTCAGTAGGCTAGAAGAGCATCCAAAAGAAGTGGAAATCTTACTCAAACACCAGAATTAGACTGGGACAAAACTGTCTATGTTGCTTTCATCCTAGTGTAACAAGGCCAGATTTTTGAAGGTATTTAGGCATCTAATATTGCAGATAGGTACCTAGCAGGATCCCAGGTACCCAACTCTCATTGATTTCAGTAGATTTCAAACTTGATTTCAGTGGGAGTTGAGCACCCTGGCCTTTTAGAAAATCCTACTAGGCACCGGTCTACATCTTTAGGTGCATAAATACCTTTGAAAATTTGCCTCTTAAGTTCTTTATAAACAGCAGTGGAATTTTGTTGGCGTTTTAGAGACAGTCCACTATGTCAGTGTGGGCAGCCACAAACCATAATATGTGGAGGACTGCAAAATGACTCAATTCTCTGGAGGTCTTCGTGCCTCGAACATCGCTAATAAGAACGCTATGGCTTGGCTTGTTCGGATTGCATACACCTAAAAATAAATATTGTAAACAGAATTTATCTTCCCAATTTATCTTCTCAGAGGTGAGGCGGTATTCCCACCGGGGATGTTTTTAAATCTACAGGATACCAGTGTATTAAAAGAATTAGCCAAGAAGCTTTCTGAACCATTAATGTTGATTTTTAACAAGTCTTGGAACACTAGGGAAGTTCCAGAGGTCTGGAACAATGCTACTATTGTACCAGTTTTTTAAAAGCGTAAACAGGATGATCCAGGAACTACAGGTGGATTATCCTGACATTGATTCCTAGCAAAATAATGGAAAGGCTGATACAGAGTTAAAGATGGTAGCATAATTAGTGCCAGTCGTCATGGTTTTATGGAAAATAGGTTCTGTCAAACAAACTGTATATTTTTAATGAGATTAAAAGTTTGGTTAGTAAAAGTAACTGTTAATATAATAAAAACAACAAGGAGTCCTTGTGGCACCTTAGAGACTAACAAATTTATTTGGGCATAAGCTTTCATGGGCTAGAACCCACTTCATCAGATTCATGGAGTGGAAAATACAGGAGCAGGTATAACAATTCAATTGACAGCAGGATATCAAGGGAGGAAAAATATCTTTTGAAGTTATTTGTCTTGTTAGACTGACTTCACACTTGGTAAGGCAACTCACATCTTTTCATGTATTTATACCTTCTCCTGTATTTTCCACTCCATGCATCTGATGAAATGGGTTCTAGCCCACGAAAGCTTATGCCCAAATACATTTGTTAGTCTCTAAGGTACCACAAGGACTCCTCGTTGTTTTTGCTGATACAGACAAACACGGCTACCACTCTGAAACCAGTTAATATAATATACTCCTGTAGACTACTGGAAGGCATTTGACTTAGTCTTGCATGACATGCTGATTAAAAAAGATTAGCACTATACAAAATCCACATAGCCTATATTAAATAGCTTTAAAAGGTAATTGTAAATGTCATTCAATGAGGGTGTTTCTAATGGGGTCCCACAGGGTTTTGTTCTTTATCTTAATGATCTGGAAGAAAATATAAAATCATTGCTGGTAAAGTTTGCAGATGAGATAAAAAATGGGAGTGGTAAATAATGATGGGGACAATTGAACTGGATTGCTTGATAAATTGGGCTCATTTGAACAACATCCATTTTAATACAGCCAAATACAAGGTCATACATCTAGGAAGAAAGAATATAAATCAGCCTTCCAGGATGGGGGACTGTACTCTGGAAAGCAGTGACTCTGAAAAGGACCTAGAGGTTATGGTAGATAATCAACTGCACATGAGTTCCCAGTGTGATGCTATAAGGGGTCCCTGGATGTACAAACAGGAATAGCAAGTACAGTAGGGAGGTGGTATTACCTCTGTGTAAGACCTTAGTGAAACCATCACTAGATACTGTCTAGTTCTGATGTCTGTATTTCAAAAAGGAAGTTGTCAATGATGACTGGTCTTCAACAGGGGTCTCCCCCATCCTCATTGAATGCCCTAACTGCTGGGCTAAAAGTCAGTCACTCTGTTTCTGGTCCAGTGACTAATTATTTATACAAAGTGGAACAGCATCAACCAGAAAGACTAGAAGAAACATACTTCATGCTAATCCCCAGCCCAGTGGCTAGGGCAGCCTGAAGGGAGATGGGAGTTCAAATCCCTGCTCCACAGCAAGCAGAGAGGGATTTGAACCTGGGTCTCCACTCTAAAGTCACGTAGGTGGGCTGAAGAGGGAGGCAGCACCAACACCTGCGTTTCCGGGATCAGCATTGTTTAGCACAGGGCTCTGAGCATGCCTGCCAAAGTGAGGCCCCTAAGGCAAGATAGATGGGCAGAGTTGGCCCTAGGTGTTTTGCCAACCAGAGTGGAAAAACCCAGCCAAATGATGTCACATACTCCGACTCGACGGTGTTGAGTTGGTGCCTCCAGAAATTGGCACCCAGGGCACCTGCCTCTCCAGCTGGCCCTGTCGGCATGGGAATGCTGAAATTGAGGCTGCTGCAAGGACTCACGTGTGAGAGAGGTACCTAGGTGTTAGGACTGAGGTGACTGTGTGCATACCCAGTAGCAGAATTTAGGCACCTAAGTGACTTTGCAGGTGGAAATTTAGGCGCCTGTAGGGTTAAGTGGCAGCTGAGTGCGGGTTCTGAGGATCTAAATGTTGGATGCAGGCATCTGAAGTGTCTGTTAGGGGCCTGAATTCCTTTGTGGATCTAGCCCTTTCTGTTCAAAGTCTCTCCTGTGGGAATTGTGCTGAGGAACTAAAGGGGGGGTGTCCTTTGTCTCCTTTAATCTTCACATTAGCCATGGATAAGCCTACATTTTAGTTACAGGTATTTTTAGTAAAAGTCATGGACAGGTCACGGGCAGTAAACAAAAAAAAATCATGGCCCATGACCTGTCTATGACTTTTACTAAAAATACCCGTGACTAAATCTTGGGGAGGGGGTGCCCCGGGTGCTGTGGGGAGGCAGCTTGGGGGTGCCATGGCCCCAGTCCCTGCAGGTGCTGGGGGGAGGTGGGTGGCACTGCATGGCCCGGGACCCCCACGGTTCCCCAGAAGCCGAACCATCCCTCAGCTCCTAGGCGGAGGTGTGGCCAGGTGGCTCTGCACATTGCCTCCACCCCAAGCACTGGCTTTGCAGCTCCCAGAGGCAGCACGCAGAGCCCCTGGCCATGCCTCCACCTAGGAGCCGAGGGATGTCACCGCTTCTGGGGAGACTTCCTCCCCCCCCCGAGGTAAGCGCCTCCCAGAGCCCCCACCCCTTCCTGTGCCCCAACCCCCAGCCCTAAGCCGCCCATCCAACGTCCTGTTGCTGCTGGGGGAGGGGGACCCGAGGCTGCCCCCACAGCAGCCGGTGCGGCTGGCCCAGGAACTGCCCAAGCTGCTCAGGCAGCCCCCGGGCCAGCCACACCAGCCACTGCAGAAGTCATGGAGGTCCTGGAATGTCGTGGAATCTGTGACCTCTGTGACAAACTCACAGCCTTAGCCGTGTAGCCTATTGCACAGTGAATTTATCACAGGAATAGAACTTGCAAGAACATATCAGCTGTAATCACCAGGGATGTGATATTATTTGTATCTAACCCAAACAGCTAAAGAAATCCATTATCCAGCAGAGCACCTAGGGGTTACACACAGGTCCACCCAGAGGATTCAGGGGGCCTGGAGCAAAGCGGGGGAGCTGCGGCGATTGTACTCACCTGGCGGCGCTGCAGGTCTTCAGCGGAATTTCGGCGGTGGGGGTCCATCAGTCGGTCCGCGTCTTCGGCAGCACTGAAGGACCCGCCGCTGAAATGCCGCCGAAGACACAGGCTGCCGCCAGGCCAGGGCTTGCGGGGCCCCTGCGGGGCCTGGGGCGAATTGCCCCACTTGCCCCGCCCCCCTGCCCCCTCCACCCCCCCGGGCGGCCCTGGTTACGCATTGCAACCCTGACCAGAGCAATGCTGATATATCTCTAAGGATCTGGGCCTATGTGTCTAACGCTGGGCATCCAAAAAGGGAAGCCCCTCACTCAGTGCCCACTTCGAAAAATGTTGGCTTCAGAACGCTGCTATTTATTTTTATAAATATTAATTGAAAACGAAGCAGTTTGCCCTGAAGCCAAGTTAATGGTGCTGTTGCAGTCCTAACTTCTACATTTCTTGCCTGATTAAACTGTTTTTTTAACTTTGGGACCTTGTCATTGCATCAGTTATTCTGCACTCTAGGTTTGCTGTGGGAATACATGGGCAGCAGGTCATTTGCTGATGATGCAAAGTTATTTTCATCAGTAAAACTGACAGAGGACTGTGAGGTTCCCCAGAAGGCTTTATGCCCTCTGTGAGACTGGACAGCACAATGGATGGTGAAACTCACCGTGGGCAAGTGGGCACATTAGCTAAATTAGATATGACTTCTCTGATGCTGCACACCTGCAGGACTCTTGGAGGCAGCTACAGTTCTGGGCACTCTCTGGTGTATTGAACAGCACAAGATTTCCAACCTTTTTGCTCCTATTACTACAGGAGGAAAGCAAAGATTTTGTTCCCAGTTCCAGAAGAAAACAATATGGCTCTTCTGAGCAGCTGTCCCAGGCTGAGACTTCAGAGAAAAGGCCAACCTCCCAGATGGAGCTGCAGCAGCGCCCTGGAACCAGTCCCCATGCACAGCTGGGCTGCAAGACAGAGGACCAGGTCGGTCAATCTAAGTGCTATTCTAAAGAGAACTAAACTGGTCAAGGGTGAGGCATAAGGCTCTTGCTTCAGAGATTTGCAAGCTCGCTGACTTTCACCCTACAGCCAGGTCAGCCCTGGGGCCACTGCTGCTGCAGAGTTGGGGGTCCATTCCTGCCCATGTGCTTGGGGTATGCAGATCCTTCCTACCTCTTTTCACATGGGGGACAGGGTCACAGGGGTATAGGTAAGTGGGTGGAAGGTCAGGTGGCTATTTTTGCTCACTGTGTGATTAGGAGTGAAGAACAGTGCTGGAGCTGCTCAGAACTCTTTTTGTTCAGTGTTTGTTGAGAAGCAAACCCAACAGATTGCAAGTCAGTCGGGGTGACATCCTGTTTTGCCTCTCTCTGAACTTTCCTTTGGGTACAGGCTTGTGTGCAGGGTCTCTTCCCATTGATTTTCGTTTATCAGTGTTTGGAGCAGTGGGTGGTGAGGAAATCCTCTCTCACAAGTACCACTTCCTTCCCCACACAGAGAACTCAGAGGGGATTTGCATGAGCCTACACTGCACTTTAACACCCATGGCTGGCCCATGGCAGCTGACATGGCTTCACAGGGCTTGAACTGCAGGCCTATAAAATTGCAGTTGCAGACATTCAGGCTTGGGCTGGATCCTGAGCTTTGGGACCCTCTCCCTCATGGGGTCCCAAAGCCTGGAAGTCAGCCTGAGCCCAAATGCCTATGTAATGATTCAACAGCCCTGTTGCCTGAGCCCGCAAGCCTGGGTCAGCTGACATGGGCCTGAGCATGTGCATGGCCAAGCCTGAGAAACACTGCCTGGGAACTCGTAAAGAGATGAATTTTTTGACATTTGGCTGCTGTTTCTTCAGAGCCTATCTGCACTGGCACTTAGAGTGCATGGCATCTGTCCTGAATATGCTCTTTTCGATGGATGCTGTTAGCAAAGTAAGCACTATGCAACTTAATGTGACTGCTGTGAAAAGCGACTGTCAAATGGCATCATGGGGCTCCCTATGCATTGTGTCTCCATGACTCGAGATCAGATCTGTCTAATTTGGAAATAAGAAGACATGTTTTATAACTGTTAATGCCACCAACTCCCCTTTGGGTCTGAGAGTCAAGCTGAGTTCTTTCCATTCCCTGCCTCATCACCAAAGGTAGTTGTTCTGCAGCCAAAGTATTCCCAGAGGGACACCTTAAGGCTAATGACATTGCACGGGTGTCATTAGGATCATGATCTGCCGAAAATGGGGCTCCACAGATTTAGCTGAGGGCTTATTTTGGCCCTGCAGGGTCACCTATTACTGGTGATGATGCACGAGATGAACCCAGTGTGATTCATAGATCGCAGGCTGCCTTCTTGAGGTTAACAGCTGGAAAACCCTGGAAACTAGTGCCCTGGTTATATCCACTGGGAAACAGGCCAGGTCCCTAAGGGAAAAATTCCATAAAACTGAGAAAATAGCAACTACAAAACTGTGCTCCTTCTGTAGCTCAAGGAGGCTGATTTAACAAATACGACCTGTCCCTGGACAAGGCCATGGTATCACTGGGAAGCCTAAGGATGAGATGGGGCATGTCAGAGCTGTTCCAGTATAAATACAGAAAGGGGGTAGGTTCCACTGGCCAGATCTGACCCTGTCTGCTCCCTCTGAGTTGCCGTGTCTGTGCATGAGGCTGTGGCATTTGCTCCCCGCAGGGGAAGGTAGGAGAGGAGGTAAAGGGAGAGGGTTTGGGTGGTGGTGGCTGTCCAAGAGAAGTTGTGATGTTTGTTCCTCTGGTGCATACTGCTGTTGGAGAGGAACAGATCTCTGAGCTGCTCAGTATGTGATGCTGTGGGGTTCTCTCTTCTAGGGCATTTCCCGCTCCTCCCGGATGACCTCTAGGAGATGAACTTCTTTCCTTTCGCCAAACGAACACTCCATTTCGTGGGGCAAGAGCCAAGGCTGTTACCAGCTGCATGGGTGTCATTCCTGCCTTGTAAACGCAACGAAGCCTTCAGCTAGCCTGGAATCTGTTTTCTAATGTGATTTGTGTGGGACAGAAGATTAACGAGCACATTTTCCTTCTCTGCCAGGAAGGTGGCTGCAGAGACTTCTCTCAGGGGAACCCACTTCTCATCTCTGGTCTGAGACTGGATTTGTCTCCACAGGAATATAGGTCTGTATCAGTATGGAAACTCCTCTGGGTCTGTGGCCACTGCATCTATAGTCTGCTATGGTACTTGCAGTACAAAAGAGAACCCTACATTAACCACTGTAATTTATAAAGAACACTAGAGCTACCCCAATAGCCACAATGCAACTTGCTCTTACAGCTGCTGAGCACATCTGGATTTTCAAAAGGAACCGAGTCCTTCCAAGTCTGAAAGTTTTCAGTGTCATGGTGAAAGTTTGCATTATTCTTAATCTGCCTCTGCTATTGCTCAGTCAAAACACCTTGCACCAGGAAAGCACATGAGTTCCCAGATCTCTTCAGCCACATGAAGGAGGAACGCATTCACCCCAGGTCACATCCATGTGTAGAGAACATTGCTTAGAGAGCTTCTTCACCAGGATTCCTGCCACAGGCCTGGCATGCCTTGCCACCCCATTCCTCCTTGGCCAGAGATTTGATAATACAAGGCTGTTTACTGAGCCAAGCAAAACAGCAATGAACGCTTCCCTCAGCTTGGACCTGGCTGCCTTTCAGCCAGAGCTCTGTGCTCCCACTGCCCCTCCCACCCCCCTCTCCCGCCCTAGCTGCCATGCACTGAGGTTCATGAGTGGAGCTTTGCACCTTGCACTCGAAGGCAGAACCCTCCTCTCCAAGAGGCACAAATGAGCATTGAGCTAAGTTGGGATTGATATGCTCAGGCCATTCTCCAGCCTTGCCAGGAGCCATCCTGTGTCTCCCTTCTGGCCAGGGGCTGCTCTACCTTCTCCCCACTACCCCTCTGGATAGGGGCTTTTCCTTGCCCCTCCCTATTACCACTGGACAGGGGCTATTCCACGAACCTCCCATCATGCTTCAGGACAGGGTGATTGCCTGAACCTTCCTGTCTCCCCTCTGGCCATGCTGGGAGCCATTCCACCCTGACTCCATTGCACTGGCTATTAGTGCTGCATGACACCCACCCTGCACAGTGGCGGGGGGGCGGGGGAGGGATGCTACATGGCTCCCAGCCCAGTCAGTGCCGTGATCTCATAGTCTGTTTGCTCTCAGGGAAGGCAGTTTGCATGTGAACCACAGATGGGTACAGAGCTCTCATGATCCCATAGACAACCCCATCCCTGTCCCATCTTCCCATCACCAACTCACATATAGAAACAGCTGCTCTTTCCCCCAGACCTCTCCTTTAGCCATCAGGAATGGCTGCCCCTCCCCATAGGAGATCACTAGTGGGCCCAGCCAATCCAGGGGCTGGGGTTAGGGAGGGAGGCTGGAGCAATAATAGGAGAAAAGAAGAGGAGCCTACTGAGCCCTTATCTTCTGCACCCACCTAGCCCCCATGCACTGTCACTGGGAGGCACTGCACTCTGGGCCAGGGAGGAAGGAGTCCCTGTCGGGTCCCAGGAAACAACATTGCCTTCCCCTCATGCTTGCCACTGGGTCTCCCCAGCACCTGGAATCCATGGAGGAGCTCAGCCTGGGAGGCTGCTGGGTAAGGCCCAGCTCACTCAGAGCCCCTGTGCTTGGCCTGTCCAGTGAAATGTGAGGGGAGGATTCATTGCCTGACATTCATGCCCTCAGCCCCACACCAGGAGAGCTGAACTCATTTTGTGGCTGACTCCTGCCCATGCTGCAACCTCGTATGGTAAGGACAGCAGAGCCAGACATGCCCCAATGACAGGAGTGTCCTGAGCCTACGTCGTTGTGGCCAAGAGAGGGGTGATCTGCTCCCAGAACAAACCACTTACTACGGGACAACATCTCAGGGCGGGGGAGCAGCCTGCCGCAGATACACCTTGTGTAGCACATCAATTCCCCTTGGGGCCCACTGCTCCAGTCCCTCTACGCCATCTGCTGGGCAAAGGGAGTTCTGCAGATTCCTCAGCCTAAGCTTTGAGGCAGCTGCAGTAGGCTCTTCGCCCTCTGCTGGTAGGACACCCTTGCACATAACAGTTTCCTCCCCACCCTCTCATGGCCACCACGAACCTCCGCTGAAAGGGAACGAGGCTGGAACTCGGTGTTTGTTGACAGTGTTAATGCTCCACACAATTGCCATGTTTGTCTCTTCCACGGGTGTGGGGGCAGGGTTTAGCTTTCACTTGCCTTCTTTCCTTTTAAGCTGGGCACATCCTGTCCCACCACACCTGTAAGCAGCAGTGCTCTGAACACTCTGTACCATCACTGGACCCAAATTCCCCATGTACCACACAGGAGGCAGCACTTGGTGAGCAGTAAGGAAGAAGTGCTCCCCAGGCCAGCTGCTGGACTGGCAGCAAAGGGTCATGGCTGGTTTCATTCTCCTGGGAAGGGTGATTGCACTTGTGTATTAACTCCGCTCTAAGCATAGTCAAAGTCACAGTACAAGGTTTTCTTTGTATGCTGATAATAGACCAATCCTTCCTCTTTACGTCTTCCCCCCTTACTTTCCCAAGGTTCATGGCTAAAATTTTCAACAGTGCTGAAGTCACTTCAAAGCCTAAATCCCACTGCTGTCACTGGACCTCATCTCAGCAGTGAGTTGGGCCATGTCATCTGTGGTAAATGGCTCCCTGGGCACCAGCAGCATGTGAGCCCCTCCTGCAAAGGCTTGTTCTGCTGCCATTGTGCCTCTATCCCAGTCCATGCACTAGCTTGCTGCTGGCTGAGCCTGCCCCTCTGTGCAGGGTTCGGGTCGCTCTCTGAGCCTTGCCACTCATGCAGGGAACTAGCTGAACCATTCCCGTGGCCACCAAGGGGCATTAGCCCGCTGTAGCTGAGCCCAGCCTTGGTGAAAGTGTCTGTGCTGTGGCTGTTCCCCTGCTGGACAGCCCTTCTCAGTGCCCTCGAGGGTCACACACCCAGCATAGACTCTGTGGTTCCTTCCAAGCCTTTCCTCATTCAGGCACTGCCTCAGCTGAATACAGTGTTGCCACAGGCTCTTTTCAAGGCATTCATTTCACTCCTTATTGGGGCAGCTTTGAGGTCATCAGATGCCAGGCTTGTGCCCATAAGTCCCTGCCTTGTCCTCTAGCCCTCACAGCCTCTCTCTCCGAGATGCTGCGCAGCAAAAAGTCATTTTGGCCTTGATTCAATGAAACTCCTAAGTATGTGCATAACTTTCAGCCCAAGTACAGTCCCACTGACTTTAGAATGAAAGCTACACACATGCATAGATGATTTGCTGGATCAGGGCCTTGGGCAAACCCAGCCAGCAGAGTCTGCAGTGATCTCTGGCCTCGCCATTCCTCAGGCCACATCTTAATGACCCTATGTGTCCTGAGGGGGGAATGTGCTACATGCACCATCACTCCAGCTCCCTTCAGTCTGCACAGAACCTGGGCGGGAGGCCTCATGTTGCTAATTAGGCAGAGTTCACACAGCCCCTCTGTCTGGTCCCATTGAAGCCAGAGGGGGTGTTGCCAGACATGTCACTGAGAGCAGGAATGGGGCCATGCTAACTTAGAAGCAGTCATCCAAGCACTGGACAGTGCCCTTCCTCAGTCTGCTTGCAAACAGGAACTCCCCATTTGGACAGCCATAAAACTCAAGCCCCACTGTCAGCACAGGGAGGCAGCCCACCTCCCCTGCCTTTAAACATATTTCTGAAATTCAGGTCAAATGCGACCACTGCCCTTTCCATTTGACGGCCTTGTCACCAGAACCAAGGACGAATGCAGTGAGCCTCAGTGTTAACTCTGAATGGTGCCAGCTCCCATCAGAGCCTGTCCACACCTGGCATCAGCAGCCTTTCAGCAGTGGACTAGGAGCACTGGAGTGTTCAGTGCCACTTCTACTCTCCACAGGAGGGTCCTTTGGAAGACACACAGTGGATCGAGGACTGTCTCCTTACTCCTGGGGCCCAGAGAGATGAGCAGATAAGAACTTGTCTTCAGTTATCCTGGCCAGTAATTTGGACTGTTCATTCACTACTTTAAGTCATATTATTTGGATTCCTGTTCTTGAACAGAAACAATCTCGCTACCATTTCACTGGTTGTAAATAATGAATGTAAATGTCAGTCAGTAACTAGGTTGTGGGTTATCTTCTTAACAAATCTGAGATTAACTCTGAGCGAGAAATCCTCATTGAAACCTAACGGGGACATATCCCCTAAACCTGAGTGCAATAGGAGCTGATTGTATTATTAAACTAATATTAATGATTTCAGGAAACATTACATTTTACTCAAATTGCACACTTTTGAGAACAGCTGTAAAATAGAGTAAATATTTGTAAATATTGTCAGCACTGGGGAAATGTTTGTAATTGTAGCATATGAATATGGTGGGGTTTCCATGGACTTGATAATGCTGAAATGTGAATCAGACATTCAGAGAATTCCAAAGTTGTAACTGTATTTGCTGCCTGTTGGAGTATGTAACTGTTGTTCTCGTCTCCCAAGAAGCACTTGAAGAAAAATCCAACCCTTTATATGCAGACCACACCTCCCAGCTAGGTTTTGGAAAAACTGGTATTTACTGAAGGGGTTTTCACACTGCCATGGACAGCCTCTGGCCGGGCCTGCTTCAGGCACCTCTTGGACTAGGTGGTTCAAGAGTAGCTCCCTTCACTTCCCTCATGTCTGGAAATGAAACTGCAGCCATCCCTGGGGATGCATTGAGCAAGGTATGGCCCCTCCAGTGGCTCTGGAAATTCAGGTGTCTGAATATCTGATGTTCTTTGCTGTCTCTGTCCATCAGTAGTGGGAATTGTCAGATACCAGCTCATTAGACATGACGGGGCAACAGGAGGGCTATGATGCTGAAGATATTCAGAAAAGCAAGGAAAACACAAGGAATAGGGTGCAGGTGGCTCCCATGGGTGTTTGGGGGGAAGGATTTACAGAGAGTGAAGAAATAGTTACACTAGTGTCCACCTTTAATAGAACTAGCCACACTCACCTCACCCATGTGCATAAAGACCATTTACTGCGCAAGAGGTGAAGAGTGATGTAGCTGCTTTGTAGGGCATACAACACAAGGGCTCATCTAACTCTTCCTTGATTATTTCACTGTGCATTGGGGAGGCACCTTTGCCTTGCTGCCATTCAGCACCTGAGCACTCCAGCCAGTGTGGAATGTATTTTTAAGAGACTAAATACATTTTTTGTATTTGTGGATGTTTGATTGGGGAACTGGGTCCAGTCATCGTGTTACAGGCAGATAGGAAACCAGGTCTCTTTTCCTTTTCAAATATTCCTGCTAAGTTATGTGAGTCCAATTCAAGTCAATTCTTTTCTGAGGTTCTATCATTCACAGTTCCCCTCTACTCCAGACAAGAGAGCTACCAAGAGAGCTACCAGCACTGTCCTGACTCTCACAAAACTCATGTAAGCATGTTCAGTAGGGGAAAGCCTGCTCCTTCCTCTCCACACTGCTTAAAGATGGTGCTCACCTCCTACCAGTTATATAGCGCTCCTAGTCTGCATGCCAAGTTTAAACACAGTTTATCTGCATGTATCTCCTGACTAATGCTATCAGCTCTACAGTATGTAATCAATAAAATTATCCCTTTGTACATGTTAGTGGGATATGTGTGATTTGGGGCTGTAGCGGTTCTCTTACCTACCTTGTTTGTGACTTGGCAGGTTTTTGGCTTCTCCATCTATGGAGTTGACATGACCTCACATCCATGCTCCCACTGCAGAAGATGAGCAGAGGCTTTGTGAATTCCAGTGGGGCCTGATTCAGGGATTTAGGTGCCTAAAGTGTCTAGGGTGACCAGAGGTCCCGATTTTATTGGGACAGTCCCAATTTTAGGGGACTTGTCCCACGTCCTGACCTTACATCGGTCAGGACGCACTTTGTCCCGATATCGGGGGACTCTCTGGTGGAGGACACAAGCCGGTGCTGCCAGCGCCGCTCACCTCTTCTTCCTGGGTCTGGGGCAGCGCAGCTGAACTCCTGGCACTCGCCCGCCCGCCGGCAGGAGCCTGCAGAGTGCTGCAGCCCCACTCCCCAGGCACGCACAGAGACGGCGAGTAGGTCTCCACTGTGTGCTGCAGGGGTGGGGCTTGTAGGCGCTGGCAGCAAGCTCCCCCGCCCCCGCTCGACCCGACCCACGTGACCTTAGGAGTCAGAGGGACGGGACCTGCCTGCTGGATGCTTCCTGGGAGCCGCTCCAGGAAAGGCTAGCACTGCCTGGGACTCAGCTGGCCCCCTGGCAGGTCCCTCTGGCAGGGTGGGGGGCTCCGCCCCCCCGCCCCGCGTCCCGATATTTGACCTCTGTCATCTGGTCACCCTAAAAGTGTCAGACACCTAAGTCCCTGTGTGAATCTAGCCCCAAGTGAGCTTAGGCACCTACAGGGTTCAGCAGGCATTTTGTGAATTGCAGTGGAGCCTATAACTGGGACTTAGGCACCTAAGTCTGGTGTTTAGACCCCTTAAATACATTTATGAATCTAGGCCTAAAAGCCTTTAACATATGTGTCAAGCTCAGAGGAGTTTGGAACAGCAAAACTAGGGCTACCATATGTCCAGATTTCCCCGGACATGTCCAGCTTTTCGGTCTATAAATAGCCATCTGGGGGGGATTTTTAAAAATCTAAAAATGTCCGGGATTTCCCCCCCCCCCCGGTCGGCTATTTATAGACAGAAAAGCGGCGGCCAAGCACCACTGGGCACCCAAAGCCCCTTCCCCGCTCCCCCCATCCCCTGCAGCCTTACCATGCTGTCCGGCCCCGCAGCTGTCGTCCCCCTCCTCCCCTCCCCTGAACGCTCCTGCCCAGGCCCCAGCCGTGCCAGCCCCAGCTCCAGCCCGGCTCAGGCCCCAGCAGCGCCGGCCCCAGCTCCGGCCGAGCGCGCCGGCTCGGGCCCAGCCGAGCACCTCCGGCCTGGCCCCAAGCCCCGCAACCCCGGCCGGAGCTCCAGACGGAGC